AGGACGCCCTGCCATCCTATGACTCACATTGGAAGGAACATCCCAGGTAATGGGCTTTGTGAAAAGCTCCCAAGAGCAAATGCTGTGCCTTCCCCATTTCTATGCTGCTCACACTGCAGAGCCATCATTTGTACCAGCCCGGAGAGTTGGGGCTTAATGGACACATGGCTGCAGGGTCCTCCACATCCCAAAACATGGATACTCTCACAATTAACTCATTGGAGGGACCCAGATATTCAGATGCTATGGGATCTCTTCCTTGGACTAACAACAAGCTGCTTCTTTTTAAAACAGGTTGAGAAAGAAATGACAGACCATTGAATTAATGTATTCATCTTTGATTTTTGTGTCATTTGATATGTAAAAGAATACTGGGGTCCTGGAAGATGCTGAGTTAGGAATTAAAAAAACAAAAAGAAAACAATTTCCCAGATAATTTGAAACCTTTGTAAACATTTACTAACCAGTGTGTTTGCTTCTTTAACTTTTATGAATATTTTGGACGTGCTGAAGATTGAGCCCAGGGCCTCACACTTGCTTGGCACAACTATACCTCTGAGTTACACCCCTTCAGTCCCAAATATGTATTTCTTAGTAATTCTTTAACATTCATGGAAATAATCTTTAATTCTTTGATTTCTTTTAATATAAATTATTTAAATGCAAAATAATAAATGAATATTTTTGAAATTGTTTCATTATAATAAATGGAAGCTAAAAAGGATATCAATAAGTGCTAAACCATTTGATATTTTTATTTATATAACTTCTTTGCCTGTGTTTACAAAAATTCATTTAACATTTTACATGAAAATTTAAAATGGGTGTGTTGATGCACAGGTATAATCCCAGCACTCAGGAGGCTGAGGCAGAAACATTGCTAAGAGTGAGGTCCAGGCCAGCCTGGGCTACATAGTTCAAGGCCAGCCAAGACTCCACAATGAGATCTGCCTCAAAACAAAACAAATCAAAGCAAAACAAAACAAAACAGTTCACTGCAAGTAATTGCAACACTGAAAATAACATCAACGGAGAAGCTGCGAAGGCATTTTTGGAATGAGGATAAAGTAGTATAAAATTTGTCAAAATATGGATTAGTATATCAATTTCTGAAAGTTAGTATGAGTCATCTAGTGTTCTTATAGCAGTCAGGGTTGTTCAAAGTAAAAAAAAAAAAAAAAGCAGACTATATTGGGGGAGAACTCTTAAAGTATAGGCTCACATCACTATAGTTGCTGACAGAGTGGAAGCCTGAACTGCAGACCATGAAGCTGAAATTCAGGCAGAAGGCCTGTGCTGTAACTCTAAGGCAAAATTCCTTGTTCTTCCCCAAATCTAAGTCATAGCTCTTCAGGTCATTGGCCGATTGGTGTGCTTTTCCTGTAGCATGGGCAGTAGTGTACCTGAAGTTTACAGATATATTATTCACATCTGAAAAATACCTCTTCACCAAGTTGATAAAACGATCGCAATCCAAATAATTAGTGGTATGTTGGTATTAAAATAATTAAACATAAGTAAAATATTTGCAGTTACCTTATTTGTTATTTTTCTGAAAGAGTTATTATCCATGATTAATTTCATCATGGAAGTATATTCCTATCTCAAATAATAATGTGTGTACATTTTAAAAAGGAATATCAAAATAAAACATAAATATATGAAAATAAAAATGATTAATAAGATATTAACATGTTTTTCTATTTGGTTACAATTTTTTTTTTTGTCTTTTTGAGACAGGGTCTCTCTGTACAGTTCAAGCTGGCCTTGAGCTCACTTTGTAACCCAGGCTGGTCTCAAACTCACAAGGATCCTCCTGCCTCAGCCTCCCGAGTGCTGGGATTACAGGCGTGAGCCACCACGCCCAGGTCTTGGTGCTTTTTTAACCCACAGATGACATATAAATCCGTTCTTTTAAAATCATGGTCATAGAGGTATTTTCAGTAAGAATGTGCAGAGAAGGAGTTATCAAAATAAAACATAAATACATGATCAAAAATGATGTTAAGTTATACTTTCTATTTGATTGTAGATTTTTAAGACAACACAGTATCTTATTTGCTAGTACTTTTTAGTCCAGAAATGACATAAAATTAATTTTTAAAAATCAAGTGATTTTTAAAATTTGATAACGGTGATTTACCTTACACTGAAATGAGCTCCTCGTAGATAACTAGTATAAATGCTATTCAAAATATTAATCTGTTTCAGGATGCTGACGTTATCTAAAAGTAGACCTAGGGCAGGGGTGTAAAGAGAGACACATAAATGGAAGAACAATACTGTGAGATCTACATTTATATAAACATCTCTCAGACACTTTGCCCAACCCTGAATTGTGGTTATTTAAAGTAGATTGCAGTGTCCAGCAGAAAGTAAGAGCTGGAAGGCAAAAACAAGTGAGCAGGTGTTCCAGCAGCTTCCTGGAACAAAAAGGAAAGAATCAAGACTTTGGGTCCTACTACTATCTTGTTGATTAGATTGTGAAGTCTGGGAACACTAATGACTCCAACCTAATATAGCCAATATGACTTTACTGCGGTCTTTGTATCCGAGAATGCTTGATTCGTTAAAAAAAAAAGTGTACAAATGTGACCTAGACCATACACATGTAGGGTGGGTGTATCATTATTTGGTGACTATGATAAATAATTAATTACCAGTGATTCCCAGTCATGATCAGACTGCGAGAAGAGTGATAAAGAATTTTCACCAAGGTAAAACCTGGTGAAATAAGGAAGAACTCTTTTCACTTGTACAGTAATCAAAATAAAAGAAAAAGAAATGGCAAGTCTTTAATCATCAAGATCTGGATTCAACTGACCTTGACTTATTGAAGAAGTGCTTAGAATAACAGAATTTAATTTAGTGGTCAACAGCTTAATAAAGAGGACTAGAAGGCATTAATAAAGTAAGCAATAAATTATGATAGTATTTTTCATATTTTTGTCTCAACATGCCTTCGATCTCTTAAAAACTCAAACTTCAGAGCTTTATTTGTATAAATTATATCTTGATATTTAGTGTATTTAAAGTGAAAATTTATAAATGAACTATATTTTGTTTATTCATTTAAATATGACAACAATTACATTTTATATTAGCACAATACATGTGAAAAATAAAATAATAGAAATTATGATATCTTATATATCTTGCAAAAATTTTTAATGTTTGGGTTATTAGAAAACTATAGCCTCATATCTGATTGTACAGCATATTAAAATATTGCATATCATATAGACTCTGGAAACTGCTGTATACTCATGAAAGAATGTAAGTGAAAATCTTGATATTTTGCAAAAATATTTTTGACCTTGTACACTATCTTCGGTGGTCCCTAAAACCCTGAAGAATGTCCTTTGCAGAGAATGCAGTGGAATACAGTCTCATGTTCTGAGTCACTTGGACTTTCACTGACATACAGATATACTTCTTCTGTAGATCACCTTACCACCAATCATCAATCCTCTGCCTTACAGCTTTCAGCCCTTTGGGGGACTCTCCCTTCCTCACTGCACTCCAAGGATATGCCCCAAGAAAGGTTTAAATTGGTGTTATATCACTTCAGCGTGACTCCATCATATCATGCCCAAAGTATCTGTAAATAATTTTTGAATATTTTCCACAGTTCTCATTAAATCATAGTTACAGGGTGAGGGAGTAGTTGTTGTTCTACTATTTAAATTTATGGCTCAGTGGCTACTGAACATCCAGCTTGTGACAGACACTCAATTTGGCTGGCCACTACATATCTCTGGATATCAATAGCAACTTGGGAACTATTTTTCATAAAGAAAATAAAGATTTTCTAGAGAAGGTATTACTCCATTCCAAAACCTACTGTGATTATTCTAATGGGATTTTTCAAAGATCTCTAGAGTATTGCAATCTATCATAGAGAATTTAGACAGTGAATTTATCTGATATCCAAGTAGCATACAAAGTTGTTTAAAAATGCAACTTGAGTTAGCTATTCCCAGGTAGGAAAAATTATTTCCTTCAGAAGCTCCAACGACCCTTTCTTAAATGGTAGGCATTGTCCAAACTACAGAAACTTGTTTTCAGTTTGCATGTAATATCTTCACATGGCCTGAACTGTAAAGTACTAAAAACTGCTCTAACATGACAGGCACATAAATTTTCCTAGTGTTTACATTCCATGTTCGATAGGCCTGTATCTTAGTTTGGGTTATCTATTGTTGTCTAACAAATTATTCTGAAATTTAAGTAATATAAATAATCATTATAATATCTCTTGTGGGTTTTGTCAGTCCCATGCAAAGGGCTTGGCTGGGCAGCTCTGATTTAAGAACACTCATGTAACTTTCATCATTTTGTGCCTGATATGGTAAACACAGGCCCCTGAGGCAGTTGGAGGCAGGGCAAGCAGCTCCTCACCAATAAAATCTCAGAATTCTGTATGGTCTTTCCATTTGCTTCCAATAAGAGAAGTGGTTTTTTTTGTTTGTTTGTTTGTTTGTTTTTCCTGCTTACATGGCCTGTGAGGGCTTCAATTGTAATTATCCTGCTAATTATGAAGGAATCCATTTTACTTCTTATGATTTCAGCCTATTAGAACACACAGAATTCCTTCTGATGTGCTCTTTTGGCTGAAGCAGCAAAACAAGCCTATCCAAATTCTGAAAAGAAAGGAAACATAGATCAGCATTTGTAAGTGAAAGTACAATCAAAAGTACATTGTTAGAAGAATGTATAGATTGAAGACAGAACATGGATCCACTGACTCAAGAGAAAGAACAATAAGTAAAAAGTAATCATGTGTTTGTCACTGTAAACAAAGCAAAGAAACTTCACATACATGTAATACAACAAACACATGCATATATGCACACATTTAACGTATGTTTGGAAGTGCTGTCATTATTAAACCTTTCAGTGCCCATGGCACAAATCTGAAGCTTTCATTGGACGTATCAGATGTGAATATATTGCTGATAATTTATATATTTCTAAAGTCATTTATTTTCATTCATTAGGTCATCAATTGAGGCTGCTTCTACCTTGACACTGATATTAAGTTATGAGAAAATATATCGATGTTCTCCTTCAATGAGAGATGAGTGATGTATCTAACAGTCATGATGGACAATGGGCCTGACGGCCTAGTGAAGCTCATCAGATGCACTTCAAACTGCATTTGGCTTGCAGCCAGATTTCCAAATGTAAGACTCATTAAGCTAAGTAGTTTAATCTCAAAGACTAATACTTCTAATTCTCATTCTGTGATGAATATATAGTGATGAATATAAAAATAGAATCCTGAACATGATTTTTATAAGAATAATTCTGGGAAGGATTTAAGGAAAGAATACAGGTCTTTTATATTAAATCCATTTCATCAGGGAACAGTAGAAAAGGCCAGATAATTTTCCTAAGAAGAATAAATTACCCAGTAATGTATTGAGACTGTGCACATAATACCAAAAAGTGTAGTACTATGTAGAGTACTTTCCAATAGCCTTTCTTATTCTCTTAATGAAAGTGATATTGCTGACTAGAAAGATCTATTTTCCCCCGAGGCACATTTTTAATATCACATTTTAATAGGGATACTTTATTCTAAATTCCTCTATTCCTCAAAAGTTATGCATTTTTTCATAGGCATTTTTATCAACTTATCAGAACAGAAATGATGAGTCAGGGAGCATAAAATCATTAACAAAAATGACCTCTTGCAGAGACATTCAAATCATAATGGGAAATATACTTTGAATGAATATCTACAATATTTTTAACAGACTCCTGATTTTCCTCAATGAAATTATTTCTTTACAATGTGACAAAAACTAAAATGAAATGAGTTGTCATTGTTAATATAAAACAAATCATAAACATTGGGAACATAGATTTGATGGAGTCTGCATAAGTGATAAAAATATGTCCTTAGAGAATATTCACCACATGGAAATCTAAGGAAACAAAGTGCTCAAGACATTAATTGTTCAGAAGCCAATAATTATTTTCATACATCTGAATATTTCTTACTCTGATATATGTAATTTTGAACTGATATAACAATTAGCAAAGTACATATTTCTATCAGGTCTGCTACCTTCTAGAATAGTTTTATTCTTATTTTAATTAAAATTGTATTTTGCTGTATAATACAAATTATATGAAGAGACTGATTTAAGTATTAAAAAAGTACACAGATATTACCTAATTTGCCTGCTATGATCCATAGTAATCAAATATACTTTTTGCCAGTTTCCAATAACATGTTTCTGATCATAAAAGGTTAAGAACTGTTTATTCTATATTTTCCTGTAGTTTCTCTTGTATTTTTTCATGGTTGATGTGATTTTAGGGGTTGTATCTAGATGTCTCCCCAAATCTTTATGAAGCTATAGGTGGAACTTTTCAGAGGTGGCTGGGTCCACAGTGTGCAGAGCTGGGATTCATTGATGACTAAATGAGGCCACTGATTGATTTAGCTTTCTGGGTGTGGATAATGGGAAGGGTCCATCTGGGCTGAGAGTGCTACCTGTGCTAAAGCTGGGAGCTTGGGTAAAATATAAGGGACACAGACAGGGATGCTGTGGTAACTTGTTTTTTACTTCACTACCTGCTGCCTGGCTGCCTTCTGCCCACCATGAACTGTTTCTCCTCCGCCATGCCACTCTGCTGTAGAGCCAGCCAACTACAAACTGAAACCTCTACAGACTGTGAGTTAAATTATACTAAACTTTCCTTCCTTTAAACATGGGTGCCTGGTATTTTGTCTCAGCAGAGAAAAAAAAAATAAGTAAGATGAGTGAAAATAATAAAGCAACAATCCAACACTCTTTACTCAGTTCTGAAACTGTAGTGCCAGATATTTTCAGTGGTTCTGTTTATTACCTTATTAATTCTCAACCAATCCTGGTAGGAAAGTATTATCCCTGGGCTCTATTACAAATATGGAATGAAGGCTAAAAAAAAGTTTAAGCAAATTACCCAAAGTCAAAAAGCTCTAAGTGTCAGACCTGCATTTTATTAACTCATCCAAGCATGTTTTTAACCACTATGTTATTATATTGCTCTTCCTTGAAATGAAACGTCATGTCTAACACCAATAAGAGAAGTGCAATTTGCAGACTCTATTGTTCACCTCTAGTTCAGTTTCTCTTCTATTCAATTCTAATAAGGACACATGAGTGACTGGTGTGACGCCTCCCTCGACCTCTGTGCTGTCCTGGGTGTGTGCTTGCAGGGATGTGGTTCACCTCTCCCCTGTCCTCTTGGATGTGACCAGGTATGGCACAGAAGCAGACAGAATTCAGGTTCCTCCAGAGCTGGTATAGGCCCAGGACTCAAATTTGGGAATGTTTATTATCACATAATTGATAGAAAGAAAGTATGTAGACCATATTTTCACTTAAGTAGCAGTGAAACCATTATGATATTTACTAAATTACTTACATAATGTATATTGGTGGCCCTAATTAGGTCTCTAAATACCAAATTATCAAAAATAAACTGTTACTTACAATGAAATTTCTTTAACAATATACAATACAATAACTATTGTAGATTTCCTAGTGCTCTGTTTTATTACCTTTAAAATGAAATTTTTTAAAATTCCCTTTAAAGGTCCAAATATGAATGTTATTCACTAAAAAAATATTCATATTATTTTTAATATGATGTAATTATTTACTAATTTCAGGCAGACATTGATTTCATAAGCAAGAATCTTCTGTATTTGCTAACTCAAACCCAAGTAGTCTTTTTATTGCCAATTCATGATGCTTACCATGTTGAATCATGAAGATGAAAGAATGTTTAACTTGCATTTTCTTACAGTGATTTGCAAGAAATTCAAGTAGGACTGACTACAAAACATGATTCTATTTTCTAAGTGTAAAGTGGAACATAGGTAAATAAAAAGAAAATCATCACAAAATTAGACTTGTGACTAAATAAAATAGCTAAGTGAAAGATCAAATATTTTAATCAAGATAATGCTATTTCTCTGATTAATTAATACTGATTTAAAATAAACATTCAGCTTATATTTTGAGTTTATCAGTGATACATAATGTCAGAATTTTTTTACATAAAACTCTTTTCTATTACATTTTACTTTAAAACTTATGAGTAAAATGTTTGATGTTATAGTATAATAATTTAACACTGATCTTTTTGGAATCTAGGATAAGATCAGAGTTTGGACTTAAATGACATGAATTTCCTTCAATATATTCACCAGTGTAATATAGAAAAGTCCCACACATGAAGTTTGTTTTTTCTTTGCACTACAATACAATTCTAGAAAATAATTCAATGTAGTAGTTTGACCAATCTTTCAGCCCTACACAGAAATGATTTGGCAATATGCCATATGAGAAATAGGTTAGTTGATCTTTCATGGTTCCAAATACATGCATCTTCAGGAAATGCCATTGTAAGCTTTGTCAAATTCTGTTTTATTGAAATTACTCCATAAGGCATATAATAAAAATTCAAAGTTGAGGAAAACTGTACACAATAGACAAAAATACAAAATAGTCCCATGGGTAAATTATGAACTACAGGAAGAACAGTTTGATTAGAACTTAAAACAAATAAAATATTGTTTGCTCTTCTCTTCATTTTTTCTATTTGATCATGTGCATATTTATTGCAACAGTGCTATGTCAGTATCACTTTTGATATTTTTCTCATCATTCTAATAGGTCATCATTAAAGAAAAAATAATCACAAGTGTGTAGGTGAAATTCTTAGCAAAAATAAATTATTTGGAACATAACATTTTTGAAATTAAATGTACAAAAGTATTTAAATAAATACAAAGTTCAAGTGGAAATAAATTTTGATTGCATAATTATCTAAAATGCAATAAAATACTTAAAAATTAGTTATTGTTTAGCTGGGGATTTAGCTCAGCAGCATAAGCACTTGCCTGACAAGTGCAAAGTCATGAGTTTGATCCCCAGTACCAAAAAAAAAAAAAAAATTAGTGATTGTCCAATGCATGACTGTTATCATTGTGGTGATGATGTGGGAAACATTTTCTAAAATAAGGGACATCTGTTACCACTCTGGTTTCTTGAATCTTCCCTTTCTTTTCAGCTACAAAAATAGTTCATCTAAATTATCAAGAATGTCTCTAACAATGAGACCTCTGTTAAGTCTCATTCATTTCTCACTGACAAAATGACTGTCTAATTTTGGTTGCCCTGCCAGAGAAATTTGAGCAGATTAATTTCTATTTTCTGGAAAATGTTTCTCCACTTCAGCACCTATTTTGAGTTCCCTCAGTCCATGGTCACCACATTCCTTCCTATAACACAACACTAAAAGGACAAACTTTAAGCTTGAAAACTATAGTCTTCACTTCATAATGATAGTACATGATATATACCAGTAACGAGGCAAAAGATGCAAATGATTCTCCTGGAAGGTTCTCCTGTAGTTCTTAACATTTTGATGACATAGTTCACTGAACCTTACCTTAAATTTGACCTCAAAATCTGAGTCTTTTTAAAGTATTGTTTACTTTTTTATTTTAAAGAGAATAAAACAGAACAAAGCAAACCAAAGCAGAACAATAAAAGCAACACAGAACTTCAAAACAAGACAACAGAAAGTCACAGTGGCTACCATAATGTCTTTTGTTTCCTTTGAAATAGTTGTCCATACTGTCACATACAATAAATTCAAACAACACAAAGTAGTCTAAAACCAATAAAAAAATGAAAGCACTATGGGACTTCAATATAAGACAATAAGAAATCAATCATGGCTACCATAATGTCTCCCATTTTCTTCAAAATACCTGTCAATATCTTCACACATACTGAAATCAAATAATAGAAAATAGACTAAAACCAATCAAAATAGAATAAAAGCATTATAGGACTTCAAAACCAGATAATAGGTAATGAATAATGGCTACTATACTGTCTTGTTTTCTTCAAAACAGTTGTCCATACTATCGCACATAATGAAATAAAATAAAATAGAACAATAAAACCAATCAAAACAAAAGAATAAAAGCATTTTAGGACTTCAAAATAAAACAATAGGAAATCAAAAATGGCTATCATAATGTCTCATTTTCTTCAAAATAACTCTTTATTCCTTCACACAAAAAAGTCAAAGCAAAATACAATAAAACCAATTAACAGAAGAATAAAAGCATTATAGGACTTCAAAACAAGAAAGCAGGAAACCAACAATGATTACCAAAATACATCCCATTATCTTCAAAATAGCTGCTCCTACCATCCAACATAGTAAAATCTAACAAAGCAAAACAAAACAGAACAAAAGAGCAAAAAAACCAAACCTAACAAAATGATTAAAATAATACAAGAGTTCAAGACAAGACAGTAAGAAATTAATAGTGGTTACCACCTTCCCCCCTTAGGTATTTTCTCCACTATAAATTACAAGTTTCATAGTATCTGCTGTGCTTTTTGGATCCCACCAACTCCTTCTGTTTTTTATGCTAGTGTTCACCCACATGAGTTCAAACCATTTCAATCATGAACATGTCTCTGGTTGCATCCATTTACCTACAAGAGCCTTGCGATGATACTACTTTATACCTGGTAGCTCTCCATTGTGCAAAAAATACCTTTTTTAACTACTCTGTGTTGATGGGCAAGGTACACTTTATTTGTTCTGGTCTGTTGTCACATGGAACAAATGTTTTCTCTCCTTTAATTTTCAGGCTATGAATTTTCTTTTGAGTTAAATATGTTTCTTGTAAACAATATATTGACGGATCTTGCTTCTTAATCCACTCTGCCTGTGTTTATTTTATTGCTGAATTGAGATCATCTACACTCATGGTTATGACCAGCATACGTTGGTTCATCTGTGCCGTGCTAGCCTCTGGCTGTTGGTCCTCCACTTTTTCCCTTTGTTCAATGGCCTGACCTATTTGGCGATCCTCCTCTGCAGCTGTTCCTGGAACCACGGTCATCTTTATCAATCTCTAAAATATCATTTTTGAACTCTATGTAGGTTGGTTTGGTGGCCATGAATTTCTTCAGTTGTTCTTTTTCAAAGAAGTATCTAATTTTTCCATCAATTTTGAAAGATATTTTTGCAGGGCACATCAATCTGGGTTGGAAGTCATTTTCTTTCAGGATTTCAAATACTTCTCTCTGAATTCTTCTGGATGTGCTGGTTTATGTTGACAAGTCTGCTGTGGTTCTGATTGGTTTTCCTTTATAGGTGATCTGTTTCCTTTCTATGATAGCTCTTTTTACAAATTTTTATTTAAAGAGAAAAAAAAGCAAAATAGAAAAAGGGTAGTAATAATACAGAATTTCAAAAACATAAACACTAAGAAATCACTAGTTGATAAATTACATACTGTCATCTTAAAAATAGCTGTTCAAGTTACAAAATTAAACCATACAACGTGGACATTCAAATAGTGAGATTGAAAACAGTTCTGCTCAACAATCCAACAAAAACTTAGTAATATGGTCATCTACCTTACACACTTAAACATAAATGCAGTTATATCCTTTAGAGAACTTCCTTTTAAAAAAATTTTTTTTATTATTTTGAAGGTAGTAAAATACAACAGAACAAGACATCACAAAGCCAATTTAGACAGTGTAGTGAAATTGGTACAGAACTTCACAGCAGGTTAGCAGGATAACAGCAATAGGTACCACAGTATATCTCATTATCTTCACAATAGTTTGTCTTTCAGTCAGATATAGCAAAGTAAAATGAAATATAGAGCATTATAGAAATTATCAAAACAGAATATTGAATAGAGCAATACCGTTAACCAGAATAAAGCA